AAGTTACGGAAAGTTAATTAACAAACAGAGACGTAACAGTATACAAACATTTGATTTACTGTTAGTAACAAGAGACGTTAAGGTCATCTTCGAGGCGTTCGTAATAATTGGACTAAAGTACGTTTGTTGAGGCATTTATTTCGGTATTTTGGTGAAGTATTGTAAACAAACATTTATTCTAGTGTGTTAATAAAGTATTTTGTTCAGAATATTTATTTTATTATATTAGTATACCGCAACGTATAAAAGCTTTTCAGGTCATCCAGGCAAGTTATCGAGGATCGCATAGCAAAGAGGCGCCATCTACATTATAAGTAACATTTTAGAAATTGTTCCACTGACATATGAATGGAATGACAACTTGTTTGACACGTTACTACATTCTGCAGTGGCTGTTTGACTGTACGTTCATTTATTTAACATATAATTTTCACCATAACATTAGATAATGCTCTCTAAATAGTTAGCTTCTAGGAAAAATTAATATGTATTTCATCATTTTGTGACCAAAACATCTGAGATAAATTTACCAAGCTACTTGAAATTAATAAATTCAAAGGTGAAAGTCAACCTTTTACTTTCTACCGTCAATTTTTATTCTATTCTAAGTAGCCACAACGATTTTTTTCTGCACTAAATGACACACACACACACACAAGTTATTTTTAGCGCTCCAACCAGCCGAAGCTCGGTAAATGCAGAGTGAACAGAGTATAAATTTATCTTTGGTAAAATTGCAGATTTATTTGAGATCTTTCGCGAAAATTCAACAGAGTCCTTTAATAACTCTAGGACTACTCATTTCTGATCAAATAGAGAAATCTAACCGTCAGTTATATAATGTATCGCGATACCAAAATACGGAGCGCGAAATTATGGTCGAACCACGAATCTTCGGATTCACAGCTCGGGCAAACGAACCACTATGTATATTTATTTATTTATACTTGTACAATATATGTATAATTTATGTACTGTAAATCTAGTTCAGATACAACAGTTTCACCGCAACTTTATATCAGTTGTAGTTGTCACGTGACTCGCTGGCTTGCATATTCAAAATCGTTTTACTACCAAGTACTCAACTCTGTATTCTGAATCTGAAATATCAATTTTATGTTTAAAAAAATTCTACGTAACGCTATTTTTTAGTTTAAAATAAATTCCCATAGCCATGACATATACATTATCAAATATAATCTGGTTGTAATATATACTTACATTTTAAATAATAATAAAAAAGATAAGTTTATTTGTTTTTTCCTTTTCAACCAGTATACTTCAATATACACTAAACTTGTTTCACATTAAATATATATATATATATGTAAGATAGTTTTAAGAATCGGTTTCAAAATTCCGCGGTTTTAATCGATTTAAAGCTTAACTTAAATATTTAAAATATGTTTCATGGCATCACTCCACACAGGTTTTGGGGGATTATGCAAGCTCTAAATTGTCGCTAGAAATTGCTTCTATAATTTTTTTGTGACTATTATAAATATAATTACAATATGAAATCATGTTGCTGACACACAGTTTTACTTTTATTATATTGTCATATATCGATCCGTTAGTTCAATTTGCTTTATCAATTTGTGTACGATGGAGGTAAAAAGCCATGTAAAAATTTCGCATTTTATCTTGTGAAGGTGGAATGGTTAAATTATGCTCCCATGTTTGTTAAAATGTATAGTTTATTCTAATGCAGAACTGCATAACGAGCTACCTATGGTGTGTTTTCTGCGGGGGATCAAATGCCGAATTTTGGCACATTGAGACACAGAGTAACTGAAAAATTGAGGAAAATTTTTCTGATCCTAATGTTAAATCTCTTTATAAAACGTTTTAATAACTTGAGAAATGTTTTATAGCTAAGATTTAGATTTTCGATACTAGAGCAAAAGCACCAATGAGGCAATTTCTGTTTTATCAATTAAACTACGTATTTTGATTTTTTTTTAGCATTTAGTGTTAAGCTGATCTTATTCGCGTTTTGATTATACATTCTGTGATTCTGACATGGATCCGGATGTAGTCTAGTAGTTAGTGTGCCAGGCTTCAGATTGAAAGAATCAAGGTACGAATACTCTCTACTAATTTTTTTTTTTTAGTCGTGAGAGCCTTATAAAACTTACAACCAATTCCTTTATTCGGTTAAGTACAGCCGTGTAGGAAGCGGTTTGTGCTGACTGACCATCCCTCTGGTAAGTAGTTCTAAACAAGCGATGGCTCTGCCTCAATCTTGGTGTTTCTGATCATTCCATTCAAATTATATGCCATTTAGATGCCTTTCAGGTTGAACTACGAAAAATCAGCTTCTGACATAGCTGTGTATGCTATTCTCTCACATCTGCTGATGACGCTTACAGTCTGCAGCTGTATATTTTCATTGCGTTGTCTACATGGAAAGTATTGCACACTGTATATACACACACACATATATACCAAGTTAATAATACTCATCTCAGGGCATGCGGTAATTAGTAGTTCAGTGTAAGAAGTGTCTGTTTTATCTCAGTGTTGGAGGATCATTAAAATCCTGTTGACAACTTTTGTATAAACATGAACAGCTAGCTACATATGATTGTTATTCAACTCATCCCACACTTCAGCAAAATTTTCCAAAAGCCACATGGAGAAGGTCGCGTGTTCTATGTTCTCAGAAAGAAGGTTACGGACTAAGCAAATCCAGGTAAGTCTTTTGCTCTATGGTGTATTTCCTCGCATTAACGCGAGATAAGTTTTGTTTCCATGGGAACTCGTTCTGCATAATAGAACTCGTCGGTAAAAAGTGTGAATTTGCTTTATGATCAGTAAATATTTCGTAGTTGCCAACCATACTTGAATGTTGATATGAACAAACCCTGTTACATCTTTATCAGAAATAAATCATTGAAGTGCATAAAATCGACAACAGCAACAATTAATTATAGTTTACCATGTTAAATTTAAAAAAAAAACTTCGTTTTACAGAGGTGTTAGAAATTAAAGTTAGAATATAACTGGAGCTACAGTTATCATCTGCGAATTAATTATTGCAACCAACTAATTTCCGAAACTGTATTCTGTAACCAGTACTCTATTTTTTTCTGAAAAACGTATTGTATTTCTTTCAACCTTCCATGACTGTAACAGACACTTTGTAAACAGCTGTCGTTCAATCCGCATTTTAACTGAGTTTCATGTTTCCATACATCATACCTTATCTTTTGTTTAAAGATATATTAACTGTAACTAAAAATAAAACTCATATCAGTGTTTGCAGATGCCAAAACTATGATAATGACGTAACCCTAACGTTTCAGACAATAGACAAACTACCTGACAAAGTTATTCTCAAGATCTTTTCTTATCTGCCACATAAAGACTATGGATGCTTGAGTCGAGTCTGTAAGAAATGGCGAAGGATTTCTAGTGACTCACGTCTCTGGACCAACGTGTCGCTACGCCCTCACGTTTCGGGACTACACGTGACCAATTATGAATCTCTTTTAGCGCTCATTTCTATTCGTTTCGGTAAGTACCACCAGAAATCAGAACGTCTTTAGAACTGATATTTATACGAATCTCTCTTCATTTTAACAACAACTGATTATTTATGTTCACTTGTATTAAATCTCTCTTCAGGACCATCACTTAAGTCCATCGAGCTTCCCATCGAGCTGATAACAAACAATGTGCTTCATGAACTTGCTACGAAATGTTCAAATTTAACAACGATGCTCCTAGACTTTTCTACTGCTATGCAGCTTCACGATTTCAGCCGTCTTCATAAATTTCCTTCTAAACTACGCTCTCTCTGCATCTGTCTGTCCGACGTGATATTTATGGATGGGTTTATGCGCAAAATCTATAGCTTTTTGACCAGTTTAGAAGTGCTACATCTTATTGGTGAGTTTCATGATGTTAGAAAAACACGTTGGTTCAAGGAGTATTGATGAAAATAAATAAAAACCCTATAACCCTAGCGCTAGTTTAAAAGCTATAGCTTTTTAAGTATAGTTTAAAAGTACTGCATTTTACAGGTAAGTTTAAAATCTATACGCCACTTAAACCAAATATATTGACATTAAGAAAACTGCCCTAAACATGTTTAGATATAGAACATGCATATTAACCAATCGACTACACGTAATCCACCCAGTGGCTCAGCGGTATGTCTGAAAGCTTATAATGCTAAAACGCAGGTTTCGATACAAATAGTTCATTGTATAGCTCTGTGCTTAACTATATACAGTTTAACTTAAACTATAAGCTCGTGCCATATTGTTTTTTTGTGTTCTTGTAGGCACATATGAGCACGTGGAAGAAGAAGATGAAGAAGGGTACGATGTCATTAACATCCATAAACTGAAGCAAGCCGTCCCTCATCTTCGTGTGGTGAATCTGTATGGCATAACTTTTCTGGACGACAGCCACGTGGAGTCTCTGAGCAGTATGTGCGTTCTCTTAGAATGCCTGGCCCTAAACTTTTGTTCCAAGTTCACTGGTTCGGTCTTTGACGTTCTCTTCTCCCGTTGCACAAAGCTCAAATCACTTTTACTACAACAAACCGGTATGTAATGGGTTACATTATTGTTTGCAATATATTTGTAAATTTAGCAGCAATGAGTCATTTCTGGTAAATAACAACATTAATGAGCGACTGTATCTCTAATATCTCACATTTTATCTTCACTGTGTGTAACTTTAGTTTGTTGGTTAATATGAAACTCAAATACACCACTTCTGAAAGACATTTAGAAACCTAGCATTGGCTTTACGAACAGTGATTTTAGGCATAGACAGTGGTTAAAGTGAGAGAGTTAAAATATTATAGGATAATTAAAAGTCTATGAAAGGACTACAATGAAAACTTGTCTTCATTGAGTAAGATTTAGATTGCTGCTATCGATAATTAGACGGATCGAAGAACAATAAGTATGACGAAACTTACCCTGTCACACAGAGTCGTCAAAACTGAAGGTGTCTTTTTATTTTCTAACATACAATATAGATATTCAGTAAGATATTTTCAGGATAGTTTTTACTTAAAGCTTTCTAAGGGGAATCACCTTGTGGGTTAGGTAGATTTTCATTTAATCACGTGGTACAGGTATATTCTGTATTGCATCAAAATACACATAAAGTATTCATTAGACTTTTAGAAACTGGCGTTCGTTACCAAACTTAGCAGATAAATGCACGTACTTCTAAACAGATACTGATGGATTTTTGAAACTGAAGTTTTTCAAACAGTTGATTTTATAGCCTAGGTGTTTATACTAAGTTATCCTTTCGTACGATAATCAGTTATTGTGTATTTCCAGGTCTTAAAGATGAGCATGTTATGTTAGTGGAATGGAACCAAACCCATATCCAGGAGTTAGACATCACTGGAACAGACTTATCTTCAGAATGTTTAATAATTCTTTTGACACGCATTCCCGCTCTTCGGTATCTCAGTGCAGGCCAACAAGATGGCTTTACAGATGAGGTAAACTTTGAATGAGGTGTGATACAAATATAGATCTCTATTCAATATCAGAGTTAAATAAAAACAACATCGATTAGGAATAACAACAAATATTTGCATTTTTATTTCAGAAATCCATGAATATGACTCGTAAAATACTTATTTTACTATTAATTACCCCCTCCCCCCAAAAAAAACAAAAAAAATATGTCAAGTTATTAAAGGTTACAGAATAGACGGAAAGCCCATAATTGACTTATACAAGACGACAAAATTCAGCATACAATATAATATTTTAGAAGCAGTATATCAATATTAAAGGAGCCCATAATGACATATGCGATGTTTAGAACCATTAAAAATTATCCCCAGTTGAACTACAAACGGTACTTTTACGCAATTGCCACGTTATCAGTATTGATCAAGTAACGCTAGACATTATTTTTGGGGGGGATTAAGTAAACAAAATTTCCTTTGTTTTATTGTAATAAAAGCAGAAGTTTACCACAGCATAATACAACAAAAACATAGTGCCTTCTTTCGTAAAAAGCTTTAACTGATTATAGGAAACGTAGCGAATGTCCAGCTGCAATATCTTGTGCAAAGTACCTGTTTATATAGGAAAAGGGTTTGTATGTTTTCTAGTGATAAGATGGCTTTTCATCCATTTTGAGAAATTCATTTATTTGTTTCAAATTCAACATTTGAATGGTGCCAATGAACTATTACTTATTTCAGGTGTTATGTACATGGCTAGATAAGGGGAATTGTAAAAGTATCATAGCTCTGGACTTAGATGGAAATGAAAGCCTTACTGGAGAAATTCTGAAGTTGTTTATCCAGCGCCACGGCGTATGTCTGAGAGGACTGGTGTTGTCCGGAATCTCTAGCCTGAATGACCAGTTCTGGTTGTCTGTTCTACGGTTTTTGCCAAAACTCAGGTAAATATGCAATGGGCTTGTTTGTTTCTACGTACGAAGATACTCAATGGGCTATCTATTGTGTGGCTACAGCGTGTATCAACCTTTGTACCGTTGATGTTTTGTTAGTTAAGCACAAAGCTTCACAATGGGCCATCTGTGCTCTGCCGACTACGGGTATCGAAACCAGGTTTCTAGCGTTGCAAATTCGCAGACATATCGCTGTACCACTGTGGGGAGGGCTAGTGTGTTGTAACCAAGCTCCCAAATTTATTGCTGAACCACTGGGGGAGAGGGGATCGATATCGAGAGTAAAGGCTTTGTGAATTATTAATTCTATAAATGTATATTAACTTGTTTTTTATGATCTAAAACATATTCATATTTTCAGAACTTAATATCAATTAGTGATTGGTGAATAAAATTCCTACAATAAATGTTTGAAAATGACCGATTATTGCGGAATGAATTCCCAATAGACAAAATTGATGTAACCTATTGTGTAATATTTAACTCTCCGAATTGTGCTCTGTCCTGTTTTTAAGAGTTATATTTTGTGTGACTGGCGTGATTTTTATCTCTTTGTGTATGTGGAGCCGATCTTGGTTTTACAGCAACGCGTAACGTTCAAATGTTGATGAAGACTGAACTTTTACAGGATTCTTTCAATGGGAACTCCTCTGGGATGCTGTAAAAAGATCCAACAAAAGATTCACACTGATACTTTGCTGTATTCCCTTGCTAATAACTGCCCCCTACTGGAACGGTTAGAAATTGGATGGGATGATCTGAATCTCATGTACAGTGACCGAAGCAGTAAAGCCGTGGATGCCCTCCGTGTCCGATGTTTGAGACTGCGATGTCTAACACTTAGCGACAACGACTATTGCGAACTTGTTAAAGCTAACTATGAGAGAGCCGAACGTCCATCGGTAGTCCGCACCACAACCAGCTATCGGGTCAATCTAGTTTATTTACTAATGTACTACAGTGACTTAATGTTTAACTAGTGTCTATCTCGAAGGATAAAAATCAGAAACAACACGGGGATCGTTGTTTTTGTTTTTTTTTTCAGGCTTCCGCTCCTGCAAATTATGCAATCAATTATAAGGACCACATATCACTATTGTATTTGTCAGAATACGCTATATATGTTGTATTAACCCTTAACCTATATACCCTCTTTTTTTTCCTTCAATTTCGTGGACATGGGAAATAAAATAAGATACTGAAGTGAATTTACACACACACACGTTAAGAATTAGCTCTGTAAAAGTTTTTTTTATCTAAAACGATTTATTTTTCTGTATCATGTATGATCGATTAGTAGATTAAAATTACACTCGATGGAATTTGGGTCACCAGTCGTCTGCAGACGACCAAGTATCGGTTGGGGTGTCATACTTATTAGAATAGCCACCATACTGGCATCTAACAACGGATCAGATACCACGAGCAAAATTCGTTAGTGTATGTTTAATTAACAGTACTTGGGTCATGGCGGAAAACATAAAGTCAAGTAACAACAGATTTAAAATATTTTAAATAGACTTAAACCGTTTGTAGCTTATAAAATTGAACTTTTAAAACAGTCTAAGAATGTACAAAAATTAGCCTTCTCGTCATCAAAAGGAAAGTTATTGTTTTATGCTGTATTTCAGCTAGGTTGTTACCGCATATAATTTCAGGAATTGAATACAAATAAAAATAATAAAGTCCAAACGCTTTCAAAACTTGGGCCTTTTCTCGTGAGGAAACATTTATTGTCATTCTGTATTGAAAATACGTTTTCCATTCTAAGATAAATGATCGATATTAATTCTCTGTTGTATTTCGCTCACCTCAAAGTTACACAATAACTTACGAGGCTGGATATAGCCTTGAATTTTAGTGTTTCTTGCAAAAGGAGCTAGTTTTCTTTTCTGCTTTGTTTGTTCGAGGTTAAGCACGAAGTTACACAATGGGCTATCTGTGCTCTGCCCACCACTGAGGAGGGGGGCTTTGTTTAATATTTGGATTATTTCTGACTTGGCGATTTTAAGTAGTATCCTTTTTTAAATCATATATATATATTTATAAACTTTTGGTGTAACACAAACGAGCAAATTTAGTGAATTTCAAACTATGCTTTCATGAAAGTTATAACATTTGTTTATTTTTGTAATGTAGTTTCTCTTCTTTAATCCTGTGTAGTTTCTTTGATATTTATTTTAAAACCTTGTCTGCTAGTTTATAATGTTATACAATTTTAAAAAAAGTGATTCATTGAAGATATAAAAATAAAAAAAACGTTACTGATTTTTGTAAACTTTACACACATGTGTATTTGTGTGTTTTCTTATAGCAAAGTCACATCAGGTTATCTGCTGTGTACACTGAAGGTACCTACATGCACATTATCTTATGCTTTAACATGCACGCCCCCCCCCCCTTCTGTGTCAAATTCAGAAAACTATCATTTGAAAAGACGAATTTCGCGCAAAGCTACAAGAGGGTTATTTGGGCTAGCCGTCCCTAATTTAGCAATGAAAGACTAGAGGGAGTTCAGCTAGTCATCACCACCCACCGCCAACTCTTGAGCAATTCCTTTACCAACGAATAGTGGGACTGACCGTCACATTATAAAGCCCCCACAGCTGAAAGGGCGAGCATGTTTGGTAGGACGAGGATTCGAACCCGCAACCCTCAGTTTGCATAACAAAACAGAAACTTACGAGATGAAAAATTATGGATACCAAACACGCTCATTCAAAGGGCGTATATGAAACATTGGTAATCACTTACTCCTAGATTAGTTGTTTCTTGAATTAGCTACTCGAGGACTATATATGCTAGCCATCTCTAAATTTGAAGTGGCAGACCAGAGGGAAAACAGCTAGTCAACATCACCCACCACCAATGCGTGAACTACTCTAATTGAATTGTGAAATTGATGGTCATTTTTAAAACCCATCATGGCCCCAAAGTGCATAGCACGTATCTTTTCGGTAAAAATGGGGCTTGAACCATGGATCCGCAGTCTGCCATGCTCGCCCCAATTTACTAATGAAAATTTCGTTTTGAATAATGAATATAGGTTCCATATTATAACACTACATTATTGCTTTTAGCTTTGAAGTTTTAATTATATATTACTTACATGTTACTTGCTGTGGTGATATTAATCACCTTCAAACCTTCTCCTTTTTGCCTGATGTAGTAAAATCACATTAACTTTCTGCTTTTTACCTGATTTCTGTAAAATTCAGATTTTCAGAGGCACTTACTAAATTGAAAGTATAAAATGAAATATATAAACTACATAACTGGAAAAATATTTGTTGATTTCTTAATTTAGAGTCTCCGTTAATTAAAGAGGTTTGTTTGTTTTATTAAAAACGTTGGTGATATAACAGAAAATACCTTAATTCAGAAACGATTTAAGTTTAAAACCAAGCGTGACGTGACGCACACTGGCTTTTATGTCGGTTAGATAACGTAACGTATAGCGGCAGCTATAATTATCTATTGCATAGTCATCTAGAATATATCAACCTAATAATCCGAGCGAAGCCGAGTAATGTCGCTAGTATATTACATAAACGTATGATACATCACATACATACTGATAACTTCTTTTGATTTTATGTATTTCAAAACATTAACTCTATCATTAGCTTGATCAGAAAACCATCATGTGAGTAACTTCAACCTGAAGAGTTTATTTTAGAATTTTCTTTGCTGTTCAGGGCAATTCAGTGAATGTCTTTAAAATGGATATCTTAAAACCTTGTGGAGTTGAACTCTATAAGGATATGCTCCTGCCTTGTTTATTGCGTGTGACGATATTTGGTCTTTGGTCCACAGTCCTCACTAAAAACTCCAATTAGAAGCCACTTTTTAATCCATTTTTTTCAGTATGGAAATTTTAGTGTTAATGTCAATACCAATCATACTGAAGAAAGGGCAACTTTAGCATACATGCACGAGAAGTGTCTGTTTATTTAGATATTTTTAAAGATTTCATCACACACACAGAATTAAATTTCATATATTTGCTGACGTTACTTTTTTGTAACCTTGACTTACCTTTTCTCTCAAAAGTTAACAGAATATGTAATGACAGCACAAATAGAAATGAGTAATGAATTAAAACAAATACATTCCAAACTTCACTAAACAACAACAGTTGTCAATTTTTTTTTTTTTTTGCTTCTTAATTTAATTCAAACTCGCAATGACTATCTAAGCATAGCTATCCCTAATATTTTGAAGTGATAGACTGAAGGGAAGACAGCTTGCTATCAGCACTTACCGCCAGTTGTTGTTTGACCGAATAGTGGGATGTTAACGTTTTCTAGCACTGAAAATATATTTTCAATAGATACTTACCTATTTTCACATAAATAGCTTTTTCGATTCAGTGCTGCCATCTATATAAATAATTTTCGCTCGCTACTAGCCTTGTTTGTTTGAAGTTAAACACAAAGCTACACAATGGGCTATCTGTGCTCTGCCCACCACGGGTATCGAAACCCGGTTTCTAGCGTTGTAAGTCCGCAGACATATCGCTGTGCCACTGGGGGACTACTAGCCTTGAAACTTCCACCTAAGATCATGCGTTTCCGCGTTATACTGCTACGCTTTTGCATGCCAATGAGCATGCGACAACCCTCTACCAAAAGGAGTGCGACACACCCTCCTAGCGTAGCTGTTTCCCTATATACTGATTTGTCAATCATCTCTTCGAGATTAGGCAAGAAAAGGTGCACCGAAAGTGGAGAACATGGGTGGGAAGTGCGAGAGGAGGCATTTATCTGAAATATATTTTTAGTGTTAGAAAATGTTAACTTCTGATACGATACTTTACCCCATCTCACATAATAACTAGAATCTTACACTGAAGTGGTGGAGGGATCAGTGCAAAAGTTATCTAGATGAACCCTCTTTGGAAAGCGCCCGAAGGAAACCCATGGAGCGTAACACCCTATACAATGGAAACGTATAAGGGGCATAGGAGACCGCACCTCGTCTGGACCAGGGTTTACTCTTCATCCATATTGAAGATACGTGTTGCTCATTCGGGCGGAAAACAAGTATGCATACACAGCTAATGCCGATGGATGAGGAACTGGAGACCAAAAAAGGGGGAAGTTTGGTGTTTAGATGAGTGGCAAATGCATCTATAAGAAGGGTGCCCAGGCAAAAGCACAGCCACTTGAACACCAGAGGATCGAAAGATTACTCCTTAGATATTTTGTTGGGTCTCGAGAGATGATCTGCGACAAGATTCTGCTCCCAGAATATGACAAGCCATCAGTCATACTTGTAAAAAAAGGGTCCAGATATGAAGGTTGTGTGTGGAAACAGAAAGAGCAAGACCAAGTGCTCGTCTGGCAATTGATGTAGGAGACAACTGTACAGTTGTCTGTATGGATCATAACTAAACCTTCACAAACTATTATAAGAAAATGATCCACATCGACGTATCACCAAAGGTTCTAAGAGATTGATACAAAGGGCCAATTCATCGTGGAACCAGCAACCCAAAATTTCTTCAGAGTCGAGATATGCCCATCATCTCATCAAGGACTCATCTGTAAACAGACTCAGACAAGAGGGGGGAAGAGGAACTCCCTTTGTGGCATTATTTTTGTGAAGTCTTTGATTAAGGAAGGATGAAGGTGAATGGTGGAGGACAAAGGATCCCAAGCAAAGATTTATTGGTCATTGTATATGTCACATGTGAGCACAACCCAATAAGATAGAGGATTAGATGGAAGCCCAAATCCCCAAAAGTGAGAGAACCTCCCGCACAGTGAGAGAAGGAGAGGATATGGCATGGGAAACTAATTGCACCATGTTGCTTACATAAAGATGATAAGGCTGAGCCCTGCATAGATGCAAGTGGAAAAACACCCAAATGAACGAGATATTGAATGGGTGTGAGATGCAACTTCTCCAGTTTGACCAATCAACCTAGACGTGCTACCTCTTAAAGCAGGAGGATGGTATGGTTGTAGGAGGTTTGTTTGAACAGAGTCAAATGTGAAAATAAGCATTCAAGACATCCACCTCGGTTATCCAAAGACCTGGAGAACAAGACCACAAAAAAAAAAAAAAAAAAAAGGGTAGAATAAAATGGGGGGGAAGGAGGGGAATCCTATTCAGTTGCATCTCTGGCCCAAAAGTCCAACAATGCCACAGTGGCAAGAAACAGGATCCCTTGGAGGCGGGAATGTAAAGGGAACAGGAAACAGTGGAGGAGAGGAAAACGAAGGTTAAGACCCTCTGACAGAACTCAGAGTACCCAACAATCGGCTGCAAATGGACGCAACTGTCTGAAAACCAAATAAAATGAGTCTCTACTGTCCCTGAGCCAACAGGGTAGTCACCACCGAGACTGACGACACTGAAGTCTATGAGTAGTGGAAGGATGGATGGAAACAGAGAAATGGGAAGTGAGGACAGGAAGAGGAGATGAAACATGAGAACAGGAAGCTGAGAGAGGTAAAGAAGGGGTATGAGAAAGATATGAAACCAGTGAGGACAAGAACATTGGCATATGGCTCCAATATGTGACTCCAGAGAATCAAGTAATCCACTAAAATCACACTGGTGGAGGAAAGGAGCCAGATTAAAATATCCGAAATAAAAGGGGAGCAAAAGTACTTCAGTTAGAAGAGCATCTCTATCCAACAAATTCTAGCGACAGATTAACCAAATATGAAGTGATAAGGATGAGGAAGATAAACAGGCCACTGTAGAGAAGGAAGTGAACAAGTATCCACTAAACATGCCTCAGGGGAATGGTGGATTACAACAGAAAGAAGGCAAATGGAGAAAAAATAAGGTAATAGAGTAGTGATCTTAGGTGGGAGATTCAAGACTAGTGGCTAGCGAAAGTTGTGCATATAGAGGAAAGAACACAATCGGAAAAGTTTTTATGTGAGAGGGGATAAGTTAGCGTATCGGAATTGACCATCATTCTTATACAGCACATCTACAACCCCAAGGTTTTTGCAACAATGGGTCATGAACCATGAATCCTTGGCCATACTAACTAATAGACCATGCCTGGCCAATAACATTAACATGTATGTCAACTATAAAATAGTAGTCTATAATATTGCCAAAATTAATTTTATTCTGTAATCTTTATACTTACATTTTTACTAATAATTATGCTTCAAAAAAGAAGTGGAAATCAAACAAGTATATCTTAATATATATTGCATTTTTACATCTACATTGAAGTGAAAAAGAAATAACTAAATACACCTTAGCATCCATGTAAATACACTTAAAATTATTGAGATATTTGCTTGGAAGCTAAAAAAATGAATAGTTATATTAGACTAGTACAATTTTCAAACTTTACTCAAATGGTATAGCATTTTATATTTTTAATCATTAAATTTTCTAACATAATCCCAGAGAATAAAATTTCAAACCTATATGACACTGTGATTTGAAATTTGCAGTCACTATAATAATAATAAATGTAATTTTTCTTTAGGCACATTATGTTAATTTACATTTCAAATGAACAAAAATAGTGCTGTAAAGTTTTAGCTAACTTAAGCATTCAGCTTTTATTTTACTTTATTAAAATTCACACTACCTATCACGAGGTAATAATCATACCATTAAAGAGACATCAAATTTTGATACAACCTGTGTTTTAACCCAGTCCAAACACAATAAACAAAATAGAGGTCACAGAAACACTTAACACATGTAATGTACAAATTGGGTTATTGACTACTTATGGTCACATTAAAGTAAAACAAATATCAATGTTATTAATGGAAGTAATGTTAATTAGACCTTTGAAGTTTTCATCACATAAAAAAAAAATATTTTGTTAGCATAACAATGTATCAGATGAAAACAGCTCTTTTATTGAAACCACAGACCACACAAACTTTTATTTGTTATGTATTTTCTGAATATTCAAAGATCATAATCTTAAATGTACTACTTACAATAGCTAAAGAGCATCTGTTCATCATGCAAGTCTAGGCTTAAAGAATTTACCTTTGGCCCATGCCAAGTTTAGTAAAAGCGTAACATCTTAAAAATTATAAGAGTACAATAGTTTTTAAATAGTCCTTTAATTTTGATGTGCAAGTTAATAAACACCTCATAAATTAATTAAAACCATTAACGTTCCTATAACCCATCAAGTAGCTTCATAAATTATAAAAGTAGTTCTTTTTTGCAATTATATTTTCAGTTAATGGAGTTACTAAGTATGTTGACAAACTAAGGCAATGTGCATTTATTCAATGAAAAACTAATTAACATTTTGTATTTTCATAAACTGAATGTGTCCATGACACCAACCAATACAAATCAAAGATGGTCAAACATAATTATCAAATTCAAAGACATAAATTTTACAAGTCCAAAACGTCACTGACATGCTTATTAAACCTCAAGGATATATTTTTCATTACAGATAAACATGCAATGTTTAAAAAGAATCCTGGTCTAAAGTGTAATCTGTTTTTTTGTTGTTTTTTTTTTTAAGCGAATGAAACAAATTGACAGTCAAATTGGTTTGAAGACAGAAATCTGTGTATTTTTAATTTATTTGAAACAAATATTTAGCATTAGAAATCACACAGAAGTGGGTGCATTATGTTAATATAAAATAAAAGAGTAAAGAAAGTTGCACAGCTTTGACAAGGTGACAGCAGCTGCTACACAGAACCTCTTCAGAATATGCTTATGCTATTTTATCATCCATCCAATTTGTCCATGAGTACCCATGAAATAAGGGAAAAGACCGCGGGTCCTTGGGTTTGTTTCTTGGAGGAACGGCAGTAGCTTTGTACTCTGCAAGCCGCTGCAGTAGTCTCTTCATGACCTATGCACAGTTATACAAATATCAAATAAATAGAATCTTAATTTGGAGAAATGAACAAGACTGAACCTACATAAGAGTCCCCCCGATGGGACAGTGCTAAGGCTTCAGACTTACAACTCATAAATCAGGGGTTTGATTCCCCTCAATAGACACAGCAGATAGCCTGATGTGGCTTTGTTATAACAAAACACACACCTACATATGTTTGAAACATGTCAAAAATTTGTACTTTCTAAAACTCAACTTTTTTCACATTTCATGAAGACCTTACATGCCACCAACGATAAAATTCTGCTGATATACAAAGGTACTGAGTATAGGAACTTATTTTTTAAGGCAGTACTAGTACCAGGACTTATTTGAGCTGCTTTGTTATTTTCTATGTTTAAACATAGACTTTCAAAAACAGGTCTACTTCATCCAACTGAGTACCTCTAACTTTTTGTTTGATAATTTAACTTCTGTGTGCCACAGACTTCAAACAGTTACTTGATGTACTTAGAAAAATGTGCTTATATAGTTTACATAATATGCATTACGATTTTGATGAAAACAATCTTTATATGAGCCACGTCGGCAATCATCTACATGCATCTGTTGTACTACACCTGGCCATAAATTCAAAAATAATGTATTCAAGCCTTGATACCCTATCAAATAAACAATTAAAATGAGCAAGACTAATTAATTATCAATATTACAAACTTCTTGTGACTTAATGCAGTAGTATCTACAATCGGTCACATTTTTTGCTACTGACTAATAAATGCCAAGTAATCCAAATTAATGCAACACTTAAACTTAAAACGAGTAAAATTTTGTATACAATGAAGAATCCATTATCAGTAGTTCACTGTTAAATATATATATTTTCAATTAAAAATTTTGCTGAATAACTGATAATTATTACGGAAACGAAACAATAAGAGTAAGAATTAAAACTGTTGACATATACAAGTCTTAAATGAAATGCTAATAACATTTACTTGTGCCTCAGCACTTCACTGAGCATGCTCGAAACGATTACACGAATTTATAATACAAAATGGAAATTAAGAAATAATGAAATATTTTACATGCAAGTCAAAATTAAAGTAGTAAGTATGACAGCCTCAAGTGCAGTTGTAAAACTATACAAGGTTTTCATAACAAATGTCAACTTTCGTTTAAGCATGGAATATTTCTTGTCATCATTGCTTAGAATAAATAAAACACAAGCACTCATCAATAATGTTAAGTGCTCAAATGAGTGAACAAGTCTGACAACCGAAACTGTAATTTGACTAAGTTCAGTAAGGTATCATTCAATCACACCTCAACATCAAGATAAACTAAGCTGTCAGTTTCGAAACAAAAATAAAAAAAGGCTAAACGTTTATGATGTACAAATACAAAGATAAGAAAAAAAAAGAAAACAGATTTGATAAACAAATGCCATAAGGAAGAAAAAACAGCATGTGAAGACAAATGTATGGAAATAAAATGAAACTATTCCCAATTAGAAGATGAAAAAGAAAAGAAAGAAGAAATCAAAGTTGGGCAGAAGAGAAAGAAACAAATATAATTATCTAGTCAAGTGATTTTATTACTTGTTACACTAATATTCAAAACAGTTTTGTACGTTTCTTAAATTAATTATAACAAATCTGATACATTATGATTGTTGTAGATAAGGCATTCAAGATAAATTTGTTACTGTGTTGCTATGAAAGTAACATATTTGCTTATTCTTATATTCTCTAACTAAAGATCTCTATAAACAATAATTAAAGATAACAGCATACAAAAAATGTGTTTTCTTAAAATTCTGTGAGGACTGATGAATTTAGATATTAGAGTCGAACTAAAAAAGTGTAGAATTTAGATTAAACAAACCTTACATGTTTGTTTTAGAACAAAGCCACATTAGGCTATCTGCTTTTTGTTTCCTGCAGGGAAGTTAACCCTGGATTCTAGCATCATAAGTCTGTAAACTTACTGTTGTCCCACAGGAGGACAAAATCTTATTAGGGTAGATGTCAACTAAATTTAGCAGAGCTAATTGTATGAATGTGTACACACAATACACCAACAGTTTATTAAGCATACAGATTTCATGTTATCTTAAAGACCAACTTATCTAAGCCATATTTCTTGTTTTAATTTTGAGGTAAAAGTTCTTGAAATAATGTTTTCAAAAATATATACACCAATAATAATTACCTGTGGCTTCTGGTTTGCTAAATTGCGATATTCACAAGGATCTTCAGCAATGTTGAAGAGACAGGGTGCTTTATGTAATTGACAGTTTTGGGAAGCATTGGCTGGTTTTGGTCCACATATAACTTCTGCTGGACTGTGAAATTTGCTTTTACACATTTTTGATTTATCAAAAAGCACTTTCTCTTTCTTAAGTGTTTCTTTAAAGTAGCGTTTGGTCGAAATTAAAGAATGGGGTTCCCTTCCTGATGGGCCATACCATCCATCCCATTCATCTTGGGAATTTCCTGTACCATAAATAATCTTGTAATCTTCTACTCTCAGAGCACCAACATCAAACACAGGATCAATATTGTGAAGAATTTCTTTTCTTGGAGAAGGACTGTTGTTAGAGAGCACTTTCCACATGTTGTATCCATCAACAGGTCCGAGGTCTGCAGGATTACCACCTGTACATGAAAAAATTGGAGTAATAAAGCATAAAAAATCACAACCATTAAATTCATGGTTGTGATGATTAAATTACCTCTGAGCTGAGGTTTCCAAAGCACTTGTTCAATGGTGTAAGCCTGTTGTATAGTTAACAGATATAATTTTGATTTATCCAGGATATTGACAATAAATATTATTTCACACACCTCAAGACAACTCATTAAATTCCAAACAAATGTGTACTTGGGGAAGAATTTCACAGTAAGAGACTATCACCTGTGACAAATAAACAATTGTATCATGTTTTTGTACAGAATAGTAAACTCTAACACCTTTATTACAACAGAAAAGAACAATTATCCCAATTAAAATGGCCATGAATTGATTTATATGAAGGACTTAACTATTTAAAAATTCATAAGAAAAAAAAGATGACAACAAATAAAAAACATTATCTGTACTTCATGGGAGAATTTTTATAGAATGCAAGAGTTTTAAGAAAGTTTTTGTACCCTGATAGCACCATGAAGGTTTACCTCAGAAACTTAGCATAAAAATAATTTTACTATCATTTCATTTGTACGACACAAGGCTCATTATTTTATTTCTTACCTGCAGCATAATAAAGAGTTGGAAGCCAATCACAAATATGCATCATCTGGGTTGAAACTATTCCCTTCTTACGAAGAAGGGGACTCCAGATGAAAGCAGCACCCCTTATTCCTCCTTCCCATAATGTAAACTTTACACCTCGAAGTGGCCAATTTGAAGCAGCATTCTGATTAAAACCTGCAGCTGGTCCACCATTATCAGTGGTGAAGACAATAATGCTATTCTGCAGCATTCCTTGGTGCCTCAAGGAATCGATGACTCTGCCAACAGAATCATCTAGTGCTGACACCATTCCTACCAATAAAAAGAAAAAAGCCACTTTAAAATTATTTAGATATAAACCATACAACAGTTACATATGACTTCAGCCAATTTTTTTAGAACTAATGGGCTTCCTTGCTTTACAAATCTCAGAATTTTGCACAACAATAAAAATGAGTAAGAATTTATTTTTCAAAGTATATATCTGCATATCTTATTAAAATATAACTATAAATTCCACACCAATTAAAAATATACAAAATATAATATGCAGTCATAACAACTGGTTGGGAATCAACAGTGACCACATGAAAGCAGACAACAATAATTGAGTGTGTTTAGGGAACAAACACCCTTTTAGAGTACGTGTCTAGAATGTATTTTACTCAAAACATTACCTGCAAAAAGCATAAAAAAGTAATGCAAAGAAGGAGAAACACATACATGACATACAGAGTAAAAGCAGTTTCTTTAAAAGAAAATTCTGTGGTGAAGTAAATGCTTCTATCATGGTCTTGACCAGCAATATCAAAACATAAACTGGAATGGAATTTACCAGCTGGTACCGAAGGAAACATCTTGAAAGAAGTTAAATAAATGGTCTACACTGAAATTTTACCAACTATTAAAATGTCAGAGAATACCACCTAAAAAGATTAACAAACATTCAGCAGCTCAGAAATGATCCTATTCATAATTACATAATAAAAATTAGGAAATGAAGATTAATATGATGAGTTCAAAGTCGCTCAAGTTGCTATGAAAAACTTAAAGTTATTAAATGATTATTGAAGAAAAAATTAAATAAAAATAACATAGAAATACTATTATGTAATATCTTATGCCAGTAAAACTAACAAAAATCTTCAATAAAAGTTATTATTAATAACAAACAGCCTTAATTATAGGTGACAGGCAAACCACACACACACAAAAAAACATCTACGACCACTAAACTTTAGGTCATCAGTACAGTATCCCAGTGTTACTGGTGTTTTAGTAACTAATAAAAACCCATAAATAAAAAGTATACAAACAAATAATCTCTATAATATGTATACGTGCATTCATAAATAATGGGTCTACGTGACCTTTACAAGAACTCTGTAGATTCAAATACTAGGACTAGACCCTGACATGAGAAAAAACAAGCTCCTTTGTGTAAAAAGATGACCTTCCTATGTCTTTAACATTTAAATTACCTATTTTTTGTATACTGTTCACTATAGGTGGAGTCAAATATTGTTTAATATTGAGTAATTTTATGATTTTGCCTTTAACGATATTCTGATAAAAAAAAACTGACTCAAAAAAACTGGGTGAAGTCTCTCATTTTCTGTGTAAATACGCAGCTGACCCCAGGAGTAATTAGGTGAATAACTGCAATATTGATGGTATTTTCATACAAGTTTTTTGTGTAACTCATGTTGATAGGGATCCTATAACTAGTAGAGTCACAATTTAGGTGCATAAATAGCTTAGAAAAGTGTGCTTAAAAATCTGATATGGATCCATCAATAATTTTAAGGTTAATAGACACTAAGCTTAGTTTAAAATTTTAACATCTTTCAAAAACACAAAATATTTCTCTACAACTAAAACTAAGATATTGGTCCTTCTTTCTCATTTCACTAAATATTGCTTAGAGAAAATCCTAGAATGAGGGATGGGAGAGGGTCACAAGATTATTTTGTTGTGTGATTATAAATAGTAACCCTCTTTTTTGTGTCTCATTTCAACAGAAAAACAACAACAACAACATAGTAAAACCTCTTCACCAGGTACGATAGAAGCTATTACTTGCTTGTTTAGTTGGCTTATAAAAGTAGAGAATGATTAAAAGTACCAATACATCATAAGTCTGTAAAATTCTACTGAACTTGAATCACATGTTGTGTGTGGCCATCATAACATTTTTTTCTACAGGTGGATTACAGGTGTTCCAAACTAATTGCTCATTATTGACTAACAAAGAAATTACAGTTTTGTTTTCCTTTTTATTTGGATAGTTTTTAGCACAGTATCTGCATTTTGTTTCTAAATGGAAATTATTACAATTTCTTCTTTAATTTATCTTTAAAAGATATAATTTCATTATCAGTAAGGTTCCCATATTGAGTCATACTGAGTAATTCAATATTTCTTCCTATTATAACACTCACTGTAAAGAAATTAACAAAATATTTGGTGAAAGAATACATTTTTAGGACAAATACATAAGGGCCTTCAGGTAATTAGTGGGATTAATTGCAACTAAAATATTAATGCTATTTTTATTTAAACCTTTTTCCATAATTCTCAATTTTTATACTAGGGGCCCTGTAACCAACACAGTCACAAACCCACAAGCAACTTGGAACATAAATAGCTAAATAAATGTTAAAATGTTATTAACAATGCTGAAATACTCTTAATGAAAACAACTGAAACACCAATATATATACATTTCAATACTGTGAAGAAAGCTCCATATGAGCAACAACTCGGGATACTTGGAATTCTTTTAACAGCTCACCAAAAACCACGTTTGCACCAACAAGGCTCGGCTGCTTCCTTACTTGTACAACCATAAAATATAACAGTCAACTAGTTAGCATTAATTCTTAAAGTATTCTGTTGATTCCTCCAACATAAACTGTATATCATACTCCTGAAATGTAAAATATACTGCAAGTATTATTTTGATGATCACTGCTATACTATATATTAACTCTAAAACTACATAAAAAGCCACACACACATACATATATAAGCTTTATAGAAAGTGTTGAAATGTAAACAAAATATTTTTAATATTTTGTACCTGCAAATATTCTTCTGTTTTTATCCTCAATGTGTGGGAATCTTTTTATATATTTGCTAGGAGCTTCAAGAGGGTTATAAGGGTTAGCACTGTGGACTGCTAGATGAGCCAGATACAGGAACAAGGGCTAGAATTAACATATTTTTGATTATCTAGACATTATTAAACACTTCTATCAATCTTTTCTTCCTAAAAATCTATAAAGCTTTCCACTGGATAAAATCTCCAATCCTGACCAAGATGAGTAGATAAGAGTTAATATAAACATGAAACAGCAGATCTTAGATGATCACAGCATGAGATTCCTCCAATAATTACATGTATGGTTCATATTACAATCCTATAATAATTAGACTTTTATTTGATGTTAATAAAACAAGTTTAACAGGCATGAAGCAATAGACATGTCCAGCATTTTAATACATACCATATTGATATAATTGTTTAAAACATTATAGCATATGTTATTCAGAAGACTATCTATGGATTAGAATAACACTTCTATAGCAAGTATTATTATTCAAGTCACAAAATATTTGGAATATTTTAAAAGATCCAAAATGTTATCTTATTTCTACACCACAGTATTCACAAGTAATTAGTTATATGTATGGCAGTGAAACATCTCAAATGTAATTGTAATTCACAGCATATTAAATAATATGAAGTTAAATGAACAAGTTATATTTCTATTTCAATACTAATAATAATTTATGATTTAGTTAACAGTCATATAAACCCTTCAGTCTTTCAAAACAAATAAACCCATAGTTACAACATTCTTATAGATGAAATACTATTTCATAAAGTTAGGATACTGTAATTGTTAATGACTTGAGCTATTGTTCGTGTCTGCTATCTAGCTCTGATATATGATGTTTACTTTGTGCATTATAAAAAAACACTTCTCAAACATTTGGTTTTACTTCAAAATGGACAGTGCTTTAAAAGGCATTAAACCTAGAAAAACTGCAACAGTACAGAACTATTTTTTTATCATTAGCTTTTATAAGAAGAAGTGTTTAATACACTGGCATCAGTAATTTAACTGTAGAACAGTATACAAATTTGTGTCCATATATAAATAAGCAATAGAGTTAATGACAAATGTATTACCAACACCTTATTTGTATGGTTGATCTTCAATTAAGCCAAGCTGATAATTCCAAAACAAGCTTTTGTTATAACGGTGTCAATCAACATAATCTGTAGATATACAGTCTCTTAATAAACTGCTTAATAGATATGAGTATATTTTAAAATCATGTGTTAAAGCAAATGATCAAAAATGTGCAACTCTTCATTAATTTAAAGTAATTTGTAATATGATTATAGTTTTTTTATCACTAAAGATTGGACCAAATTTTAATTTTTAAAAATTGAATTGTTTTTAATGCTTATTTACTTGTTTTATGCAGGTAATACACACACACCTCTATATGCTTAAAATAAGTAACTTGTACATGGTATAATTTTTAGTGTTTTTTGTTTTGGGAATGTGTTATTGGCTCGATAGTGGTTTAGTTAGTTTTATTGGATTTGTTTTGCTCTATTTATAACTTTGAATTTTGATATGAGGGAAAATTTTAGTTTTTGTGTTTCATTCAATATTCTAGTTTTGCTTTAGATATATATATATATTTAAATATTTTGAAACTTTATTTGTAAATTAATGTTACAATTACACCTTATATATATATTTGTATGTGAGTGTGTATGTTCATGCATATTTACATATCTCAAAATTATATCTTCAAACTTTTCAAGTTTTCATATTACAAACAAATTAACTGAACAAGTTGTATCTAGTACTAATAACACTCTTAAAAATTTCACTTCTAAACCTGTTTCATTTTCATAATTGCTATGTTTACATGCTATTCTAAAACTACATAAAAAGCCAATGGAATTCAAGTTTATTAAAATTGTTGTAATTACCATCAACCCATCATGAAAAACAAAATTTATTTATTAATTAGTAAAGTTAGAAAAGTCTATTTTACCATTTATAACTTGAATGCTGGATATTAAACAATAAGGAAATAGTTTTACATCATTCAGAAACCTTAAATGAAGCCAATGTTGCTGTAATACACACTTGTGATTGTTTTAAGCTATACATTTGCAAGTTTCTTTCAGTTCTACCACGTTATACAGATAAAAACTGACACACTAGAATGTTGTTAATTGTGAACTTCACATGCAACTATAAGTTAAACTACATTTCAATCACTTCTCATACACAGATAACTTACCCGTGACTTGTTATGCTTTTGTATAATTTCTACAGCATGATCAGTAAAAAGCTCTGTAGCATACTTGCCCAATGCATCAGTTACTAAACTCAAATTGTGTCTTAAGTCCAGCCCCCAGTCATTCCCCTATTCAAAAGAAACAAGAATTTGGCTCTTTCTTTTTGAGTTGATAATACTTATTCCAGTGACTTTACCTAACACATGCTCATATAGTGCTTCTGTACACTACTTGAATTTTAAGGTTTATATTCATACAGCTGTTGATGATTTTCAAAGTAGACTGCTTTAAAGCAGAAACTATCTGTTACTGGAAAACATCAAACATAAGTTCATTTTGTTTGTTATGTGAGTGACACTACATCAGTTTCATCACTAGGTGGTTGAAGATTTTAGTTAGAAAATATGATAATCTTGCAGTTGGCATCTATTGCAATTCAAGAGTTCTATTACATGTTTTGAAGAAGTGTGATTCTAAAGATCGAGGCAATTTATCAAAGATCTCAAAAAAAGGTCAAGAAGAGTATAGCCTTTATGTAAAAGAAAAAAAACTTCAGTAAAAACACACATTTTGATCAAACCAGTTTAACAAGATATCTGTTTATCAAATTAAAGAATCATCAATGAAGTGCATTTGTTCACACTTTTTTTTAGCAAAATATCAAAATACTTTAAACTTATTCCTACCTCCACTGCAGTGTGATCATAGTAATCTTCATGACCTGACCAATAGCCAAAATGAGAATCAAATCCCCGATATGTTGGAGTATACTCTTTTTTGAAGAATCCAAGATGCCACTAAGTATATAAAAATATTTCCATAACTTTATTTACATGTAAAATAATCTAAGTGCTAAATAAACATCCTTGCTGTCAGTAAAAACATTAGCAAATTAGCAGAAACAAACACTTAGCTAAACTACTACAAAAACTTAAACGTTATCTATCTTATGATATGTATAAGCATCCCTCCTAAAATATATATAAATTCAAAAAATTATTCTCAGATAAATAATTTAATTGGTTTGTTTGGTAACCCTAAAACACATACATGAAATACGTTTTTGATCTTATCTTTTTATAAATATATAGAAGTATGAAAATTAAATAAAACTAACTATGTAGCACACATATTAGAATTAATAGTCAAATGCTAAAATTGTATTTAGACAATTTACCATAATCACTGATGTTATCACCCAATCAAACCATCCCAAGAGTTAATTTTCCCAGTGTTATATGTTCCCACCTGTCATTAAATAACAGTTTTGCAAAACTGTTTTAAATTTGACTAACATTTAATGCATAACACAAATGAACAATTTAATATAAAAAGACAAAAAAACAAAACAATAATTAATTGAAGTTACCCATGCCATCTTAAACAAGCTCAGTCTAAATATCTGCTCTGGTTGAGCAAGAAAACTGAAGCAAAAGGCTAAACGATTTTGTAAGTTGACCAAGTTGAAATGACTTAGACCATCAATAACAAAACACTGAATGAGGCAAAAGTTTACAATTGATTCTGCAAGTCACAGAAATATGGCTGTGAATTTCATCTGCAAAGTGCATACATGTATTTCGGAATTTCATTAGAGGAAAAAGTGACTCTTATAATATTTTTTTATTTTCATAGATTGTCTGATACAACTGAAATGGCAATTTTATCTGTAAATTTTATATTATCAGGAATGTTTATCCATCTGTAAACAACATGCAATGTCAGCTAACAAGCTGTAATACACAAGTTTTCAAATGAAGTAAGAAACTCTTTTGCCTAAAATTACAGTCTTGTCTGGAGGTAGTAAGAAGGTACACCAATGTAGTGTGTATGGTGTGATGACTCTCTTGTGAATGCAACACTAGAACACCAACATTATCCTGGACTAGTTCAACATAATAAAAATATTTTGAGAATTCCCGAGCACTGTTTATTTAAGCATTATGCATAATATAACACAAAACAGTGTTTCATAACACTACATTATATATTAATACAGACAACTTATTAATACTAGTACTACTAATAAAACTAACAGGCACCTGTAGAGTATATGGTTTTGCCTGTAAAGTGGACAGCTGCCCTACTCTTGTTATTCCTTTTATATGCGATATGCTGCAGCTCAGCATACATGAATTTCACATGTTTACAATACTTTACGTGTCTCTCTTAAAATTAACAGGTCAACTTTAAACACATTGTACTTGCATAGAATTAAGCTCAATCTCAGACATCATTCCATGACTACTAGTTTATGCCTTTGAAGAGAAATTTTTCGTAAGGTAAGTAGTAAGGGCTATGTGATTAATGTATGATAGTGAGTAAAATGTGTGGATAATTATTTGCCAACAGATATCTACATCTGAAATAACAAACAGTACTAAATTGGTTTGTCACAATAAACAAATTCAAACAAATACTATTGTGGCACAACAATTCTAAAACTAAATACTACCTTAATATAATTTTACTGTAACTTTGCAATTAATTTTCAATTGGTACTTTTTAATTATTTCAATTCATAACAGTACTATACAATATTAATAACATAAAGATAAAAAATATGTGACTACAAGGCTAATCATAAAGTTATACCTTCCTTAAAGTTCCACACATGCAGGAATTACACTCATGAGTTGAGAAATGTTCTGGTAACTGTAACCTACTAAAATATGCAACACTATAACTGGTGAAACTTACCCTATCAGAAACAGTGTAGATCATACCAAAAATTTAACATATATAGTAATTAGCAAAGTGTTCTGTTTATGCTATTATTTTGCAGGAAATACTTCTGTAAGGATTATAATTAAACTTTATGCTATTATTTTGCAGGAAATACTTCTGTAAGGATTATAGTTAAACTTTATGCTATTATTTTGCAGGAAATACTTCTGTAAGGATTATAGTTAAACTTTATGCTATTATTTTGCAGGAAATACTTCTGTAAGGATTATAATTAAACTTTATGCTATTATTCCTTACATGGGCATTCCATCTCTTTTATTTCACAATGTTTGTTTAAAATAAAACCTTTTAGATTTGAATTTTTTATACATTTTAAGAACATGAATTAAATGTTTTTACATTAATTTTGTGCATTAAATTTAACCCTTTTTAGGGTTCAACTCTTGTATTTCCTCTGATGGATGTCAAAAATATATATTTACATTCAAAACAAAAACTACAATAAACCATGGTCTTTGTTTGATAGCTGGTTGACTCATTGATGCAAAAATGAAAAATCAATATTGAAATTTAAATTGCTGCTGAAGGTCGAAGTAAAAACATATATTATTACTGACACCACTGGACTTGTAAAGAATATTTCAAGTAAAATTATTGGTATAAATAAATGTCCTCAGCATCATGAGTGTCATGTAGTTTGAAATATTACTCTTTGTTGAATTTTGCACAAAGCTACTCAAGGGTTATCTGCACTAGCAGGCCTCAATTTTGAAATAATAGACTAAAGGGAAGTCAACAACTGGTGGGCTAAACTAATCAAATAGTTAGAGTTGATCATCACTCCTATAATAATGCACCAATAGCCCCAAAGTGTTGAGCATGTTTTTTTCAATAAGTGGATCTAGAGTTCAGCACACTGATTTCTAGACTGCACTTGCTCCTTCTCAAATGAACAAGTTTAATGTTGAGATGTAGAGTTACCTCAATGACCATTTCATTGCATCTTATCTTCATAGTCAATCAGTCTAAATATTAGGTTACATCAGACCTAATGATGTAATTTATCCTTACTAATACTGTGCTATTTAACCCAAGAATTACCAGTAATCTGTATCAGATTTTTAAGGCAACAGGATGAGGGCCATATGCAAGTAAAGACTACTAGCACTTTTTGTTTCTGTATCCTATCTCAAAAACTGTATCTAGTGCATTATGCAAGTACAGTAGCAAGGTATAACTAGTTGCAAGCTACAGGTATCTGTGCTACAAGAAATTTGAAAATACTTATAAGTCTAAATAGTCAACCTGAATGCCTAACTACAATAAAAACTACCTTCTTTGAATCATTTGTACTGTTAAAGTGTAATCTACTTATGCTTTAGTGACTAATGCTTGGCTTTCACAATTCTCCAAAAAAAAAAGCATAATTCAGTACTGTTACTGACATCACTTAGTTTTCTTTACTGCAGTCATTACCATATTATATAATAAACATTATAATTAAAATTCAGATTTAATATCAATGTCAGAAACAACAACAAAAAAGGATTATAACTGATAATATTAATTTAAAATAAAAGGAACAAAACAAACACTTTCTGTTATTATTTTACAGCTTTTATTAGATAATATATATATTTTGTGTAGAAGCATATCTCATTATATAAAGATGCCAAATGTAAACTTCAATACATAACACTGTCATGTGCAATTAACTGCAAAATGTACATTACACTTTCTATTCTGTATATTAGTGCTTTACACATATGTGTATTCTTTGATTTGTATGGAATTTAAATATTTGAGTATCAATGATTATTCTAATCAAACATTTAATTCATAAGTGTGAAACATATTCATGTATACTCTCTATAAAAGTAAACTACATAACCAGTCAGAAATAAAACAGTACAGATATCAGAGAACATGATGTTAAACTTAAAACTTTCAACTGAAACTAGTTATGTCAAATTAGCTTATTTGCAAAATGTACATAATATTTATTAGTCTTTATGTGTACTTAAAGAAACATTTAACCAAATAGTAGAACTGTTCACACAAATACTCTCATTACTTTTAATCATTAAATTGTGGTTTTACTAAAATATGAAAAATAAAGTGAAAATATTTTAAAGTCAATTTAGGTAAATCAAAAACAGTTATCACTGTATATATACACAAAACAATAATATATACTTTTTAACAAGCAAATATGGCACTTAATGCAACTGTAAACTAGCTTCATTTCAGTAAGTTGAATATTGACAAAAAAAGAGTGTTCCATATCAAAATTTCCTATCCGGATGACATACAATATGAAATGACAGGGGCAAGTGTTATTGGACTATATAATTGAAATGTCTGATAAGAATAATCACAGTTTCTGTATAATGCAGAATCTAGCCCTCTTTCTCTATGTATAATTAACTATGCAAAAAAACAACAACAAACTTTTAAAAATTTTTACTTTTGTTTCTAATTTTCTCCACCTTGTTTCTGAAGGACCATTTCTCAAAGCATTTGATTATTGAACAATTCTATTTAAAACATATTCTACTGTTAGATCATTGGTGCACATTGAAAACAATGAACATGTGTAAATAAATGGTTTATATACCTTTCCAACAGTCTGGGTTGAATAACCTAGTTTTTTTAGATGAGTGGGTAAGATTGGAAGTTCTAGAGGCAAACCCCAGGGTTCACCAGCATAGATAACATCATGTTGCAATCCTAGAGTAAATTTGTATAAACATAGAATAAAATATAAGTTTCATAGAAATACTGGTGCATGTTAAAATACTTTTCCAACACAGGATACATCAAATCTAGTTTCATTTCACTGAATTGATTATAGGCATTAATCAAATTCTCATATAAAAATAAAGTTAAAAATTTTATTACACACCCTATGAATTTCAAAAAATCTGCTTCAAAAAAATAACATGGGGTTTGAAGAATAAAAACAAACTCAACAAACTGAAATGAAACTAGCATCAACTGACAAAACTACATTCATGAACAAAATGTTACTGATAAAAGCTGAAGATTTGTAAAAATGTAAAAATGGTTAAAACGTGTGCATGAAATTTTATCAGTGTATGCATATACTTAAATCTCAATGTACATTCATGCAGTGTAAAATACAAACAGCAGAGATACATCTAAGTTATCATTTTACACATTGAACAGGCTTGTTCACATGCTTTATTCATATATTTTGCCAATGCTACTCAGCATCATAATTAATTGCATACTTGATTATCAGCACTGCAAGCTTCACCTAACATGCACCTTATTCCATGCAACATAATCGTTTTGGTATCAATAATCAATTATAATCGAGTTTTATTATAATGTTATTATAAAACATAGACTATCAGCAAAAAAAGAGATTGACTTTAGAAAATAAATCAAAATTTTTCCATCTCTAAATATAATTTTTTTGGGGTACAAAATACTGATCTAAGCCTAATTTTTTATTTAAAAGCATTATGATTTTGCATGTACTTTCTAAGCAAAAAGCTCTTCATACTTTTCCAACACAGGTTAACAAAATGATCTTAAGTACATGTTTAGCTCAATGAAACATTTAATATGAAGATTTTTAAAACTCTGTGTAAATATATAACTTGGAGGAAAAAAATATATACAAGCATTGCAAACCAAAGAATAAAATAAACATACTTATGAGCCTTATATAGACACATTACTGAAATAAAATAAATGTATAAAATAAAGGGATTTCAAATGAAAATATTAAAAAAGTGCATGAAGAAAAAACATACTCTGTTGAACAATGATAGTCCATAACTGATTCATCTGTTGCTCATCCACAACATATAAACTGATGAAAATGAAATAAAAGTAATGATTGATGATAATCTACTTAAGTACATCACATCACATAATGTGTCTGGAGCACTTTTACTTCTCTTTTGAATTGAGTAACTGAAATGCTCCTTGCCCAAACTTAGATATCTTAATGGAGTGTTGTTTCACAGAAATATGGCAAGTTTTACAGCAAGTGTTTTGCTTTAAGTGTAAAGCAAATAATAATGTATATACGTTATCACATCTTAAGTGACTATTTACACGTACAAGGGGTAATAGATTTATTCTAAAATGAGTTATCCAGCACTTTTTCACTAAAGATTTCAATACTATTTTTTTCACATGTATTAATGGGACAACCATGTATTTTGGTTGATGCTGTTTAATGGATGTTGATGCCCAATTTAAATCTCTAGTACTCATAACAAGTGAAAATATGTCAGGGCAGGCATATGTTTATCTTACCTGCCCTAGTCCTGCTGAAAGCTTAGCAAGTTCCACACACCCCCAGTTCTACTTTTTTTGTGGGGGGGGGGGGCATGAAAATATATATATATTATTTTCAAGTGTGATACATATAATAATTTCCTAATCTTTCTATCATCAAGATATCATGTGTGCATGTGTGAAATGAAGTAAAAGTATTTTTTTTATTCATGTTTCCACTACAAAATGAACTGCTTATGACTCATGTAGTAATTTTATATCTGTATTCTTCCAATATTTCTTTATTTTTCCAAATTACTGTCTGTTTTTATTATACGTGTTTTTTTTAACTTTAGATACTTGAACATATCTGTCCACTTTATGGAAAATACTAATGTACACAGATAAACTGTTATATGAAAAAAAGTCTCTAAAAGTTTGAAAAAATTAATGTATTTGAATACAATTTGAACAGTAAAAACTAAAAAAAGATCTACTTGACATCATTTACAGGAATCTTAACAAACTTCATTATGATTCTAAACTGAATACTGTGGAAGTCAGAAAAATTACAAACTTACAGTTTATTATATACACAATTATAAATCTAAAACAAGATATGACTAAATATGATTATGGTAAGTGATTACAAAATGAAAAAGTAATAAGTATATCATATGTAATTATCAATCAAACAATACCCTTTACTGAATTTTACAGTACCATAATCCTTAAGTACAAAATCAAAAACTTATATATATGTATTATATCTAAATATACAGTTAAAATGCTAACATTTATAAAAATAACTACATTTATGAACTACAACATTGAAAGAGTTTCATGTGATGTAATTTGAAAAAAAAACAGAAACATTAAAGTTTCATACACAGTATTAATGGACAATCTGAGTTTTATAAATTTTATATAAACATATTCTTTGACAATTTTGTAATTTCAATTAAAACTACAAAGTTAAAAATGACAAATGATAGATTTTCCATCAAGTTAGCTGTTAGCTTAAACTAATAACAGTACACAGATGTACACTATCTTTGTTTCAGCTGGAGAAATGTAATGTAATTATCTTAATCTATATATAATAGTATGTTAATAGTGGAAAATTAATTATTATATTACAACAGATGGTAACAGTAATCCTGAAACATGTAAGTTATTGAATAACATAATTTAATATCAAAGGGGTAATGCAGTATTTTTCAAACAATTCTGGCTAAAAATTCCCATATGATGTAAAAATATGGGAACTTTGCTCTTCCTAAGTACAAAATTAAAAATAACAATTAAAGGCCAAACTACATATGTCATGCCATACTGGAAGCATGGAAAAATAAGACTTATCATTTAATAAATTTCATCTGAAGCTTTTGATTCTATATGATCTACAGAGCCTTTCTTTTGGCACTTTAGCATCATAGTATTATGTGGCTGTTCTACCGCAGATTGTAATATCTTAAAGCAGAATAAAAAATTAAATATTATAATAAGCAAACAGAAAAGCAAGGTAAGCTTTCTGAGAATTAATCTCTTCTTCACAATACCTTTCCAACAGCATGTGTGGCATAACCAAAGGTTTTCAAGTGCTCAGGTAGAAGAACCAGGTTTAAGGGCAACCCAAAAGGATGTGATGCAGCAATGTTGCGATGCTGAAGACCTGGGGTATAGTTATATTTGTTCAGAATTCAACAGTTTCTTTCAGTTTAAAGGATAATATACAACCAATTTATTTGATGTGAGCTCTGACATCCATTTCACAGGTTCATTATATTTATGTAATTAAAATTACTTACAAAAAATAATACATTCTTCGATCATCTGTCTTTTTTTTCTTCCCTTTTTATATTTTATATTTTTTGTTTTTATCATCATGTACTTCTCTCATTGTTGTCATTGGAAGTTCATCCTCTGGTGATGTAACTGTCATATAATGCAAGGAAATTTCTGGGTCATGAATGTAAAAACATTTGGAACAATTCTAATCTCATATCTTTGTTTGCACATGACATCTTTTACCAATATGCATTCTTCCTAAATGACATTTACTCATACATCATGTTGTGCTGTGAAGTTTCCACCATAAGGGTGACTTTTAATTTTCCTTTTCTTGAAACTACTTTAGACCAATTGCTCTTCCAATCAATCCAATTTTTGCTTCACCTATGTAGAAATTTCCTACCTTTTTTTTACTACATCAGGTCAAACAATAATACTTGTTGAACCAGTGTTAATCAACATGTTGTAAGGCTTCCCATCATTGTATCCACTGACTTTTGGACTTGTCTATTTAAATAATACACTCCTTATTTCAACTTGGATAGATAAAGTACTTTAATCCTCAGGATTTTGCATCCTTGGTTGATTCATTAGTCTTGGATATCCATATTTCCACACTGATAGCACTGTAGTTTTCCTGTCATATTTTGGAAACAGTTTCTATTTTCTAGTACTTTGTTTGCAGTTCCTGGTAATATATCCTTTTAAGTCACAATTGAAACCTCTTCTGTACCATGGTTTACTCCTCCCATTCTGAAGTAACAGTTGTCTTATTAACTGCTTGAGCTATTTGAGTTCTGCATCAGAATTAGTTGGAGCTTCTACATTGTTTGATTTGATAATCTCTTAAGTTCTTAATGGCACATTTGGTTGTTTACATATATCTGTATTTTTGATTGATTCAACTTTCCTTAAAGTTATGTATCTATTTTACTTTATCCTAAGTTACATATCTTCATCCACTATGGTATCTATTAAATGGTCATGTGTCAATGAATCCATCACTTGATGTGAAAATTCTGGGTAATAAGATAATCTGACAAGTCCTTCTAAATCTTCAACAAAGATCTCATCCTTCTTCCTTACTATGCTCCTAAACTTCCTATTGACATAACACTCTAAATCCATTTGGTAAGGTGACCAATAATGCCTTGTATTTATTACAGTTCCCTGCTAAAAGGTTGTTTAATACTGTTAAAGCTAGTCCTTTTGAATTTGCACAAGTTATTCATTATTCTATCTATACCATTTGCTTTGGAAATTATTTCAAAATGTGCCTGATATGCCTCTTAAGATAACTTTCTATCACAATCTTTGGTTTCTCAAGTAGACAATCTTGTTGAGCTGGCCTGTTAAATTCCATAACCATAATGTAGCTGTAGTAGTTTAGGAAGGTTCTATTGTCATAAGTGGGAACAACAGTAGTGATAACAGATGGACATCACATGAGTTCTCTTAACTGGTATTACATAACCAATGACTGCAGAGTTTGGATTTCTTTAGCAGATGCACAGAAAAATATGGCTGGTTTGATCATTTTATTTGGCAATTCAATTTTTTGATGTTTTATTCTAGTGTTGACATTCTTTTGTACTTTGTTTATCTTGTTGTTATAATTCTTCTGTACCCTTCCAATGGTTTTTCAATTTCAATTTATATGGCTTTTTTGATCAAATTGATTTTGAAATTCTTCTGTTACATTTTTATTTCTTCCTTCTTGATCTAATTTTAAGTTTCTGTCTCTTTCTATTTCTTCTTCTCAGTCTTCTTTCCATTGTTTCATCATTTCCAGCAAATTTTTGATTTCATTTAAAGCTCATGACACTACTTTTGTAATGTTTTCCACTGTTGTACAGTTTCTTTCAAATTAGTAGGTAAAACTAAGTTGCAATGGTCAGTCTATTTAATGATAATAAAAGCATTTTCTTTCTTAGTAGCAACTAACAATATAATTAATATCACAAATAAATAATGTCTCAAAAGAAATCCAACATTTTGCTAATTTTCTTATATTTGTATATATTTAAATAAAAACATAAACTCCAAATTTATAGTGCTAAGCAAATTAGCTGACTCAATAAACAATAAACCATCTTATTTAGTCTTCCTTAACATGCATTTTACATAGAATTCAAATTTTTTCTTAAATTTCAAGAAAATTATAGCCATTAAGCCAAATACTCAACAGTTGACATGAACACTCTCTGGTGAAACAACAATACAAATGTATAAATTAAAAAACACATATCCTACAACAATAAATAAATATACAACATGTCATATTAGCACTCACTGTCCATGACTGTTTGTAGACACTGCAGTAAACCACCTGTAAAGTAACAGTGCTATAACTGTTAACCCTAATGCGGGTTTAAGCTCTTAGATCTAACTTTTTGACTTTGCTAACTTGTTTTTTACCTGCTCTTGATCAATATTGTTGAGATAAAGTTTCTCCAGTGTTTTTGAGTTCTACTACCACAGCTATCTACCTATAGGGCTTTACTTTTATAGCTTATCCTGCAGTTGGTTTAATTATTACTTTTTGTTATCATATGTATTTTTTGTGCAATGATTGATGATGTTTATATTTTCATCACTGTTTCATAGTACTTATATGATCACCTAAATATGTTACTTTATGTTATGTTTCTCTGTTTGTTACATATTTAGGCTTATTAAATTATTGAATGAAGTGTACAAGAACAATTATCACAAGCCTTCAATTTTCCACTTACCTGTATGAATAGGATATAGCCCAGACATAAGTGCACCTCTAGAAGGAGTACATATTGGGGACACATAATAGTTGTTTAATATGATTCCATTAGTTGCAAGCGCATCTATGTTGGGAGTTGGAATTTGTAACGAGCCGTGAAAACTGATATCATTCCATCCCTACATAAATAAAAGTATTAAACATGTTTTAGGAACAATAGCTTCACCAAAATTCTGATTAACTTTATTTTTAAATCAAACCTGGTTCTTGCTCAAACCATTACAAGTTTTAAGTTGTGACATACATACCATTACATATAGATATTCCATATTGTAAAGGCCCAGTTATTTTTAGACATTTTGTCACTAAAACTTAATCTATAAGCCATTCAAAAAAAAAGTACTATGATCAACATTTGTGTAATACATTTCTATTGTATGAACAATTATTGTATTGTTATGCACTAATGATTAAATCAAGCCCCCACCCCAACAAGGACAACTCCTAAGCAGGTGTTAAGCATTGTCCAAGATGTGACTAATTTTGACCATTACCTTTATGGCCACAAGTTTATCAAATCAACCGATCAAGCATCTGGGAAAACTGACATTACAATTATGCAAATTCTTAGACAAAAGAGTGAAAATGTTGTGCATTGTTAAGAAAGCCTGTAGAGGACATGGGTTAGTTTGTTTGTTTTTGAATTTCGAACATGTTACTCAAGGGATATCTAGCCGCCCACAATTTAGCAGTGATAAACTAGAGGGAAGGCAGCAAGTCAACTCAACACCACCCACTGCCAACTCTTGGGCTACTCTTTTACCAAGGAATAATGGGATTGACCATCACATAATAATGCCCCCACAGCTGAAAGGGTAAGAATATTTAGTGACAGGGATTCGAACACACAACCCTCAGATTGCGAGTCGAGTACCCCTAACCACCAAGGCCATACCAGGCCAGAGAACATAGGTGTGGGTACAGTGCACTGCCTATGTTAAAAATGCCATAAAAACAAAAAGGATTTGCTTGGAAAATAAGAAGTTAAGTTCCAAAAGCATTTTTACAGACTAAATGATGCCTTTCAGTGATGTGATTATATAATATGTGATATAAGATGTGATTATATATTATATGTTTGTTCAGTTAAAAAAGTAATAAATTAAATAAAAATACTTCTAAGTTGTTTTGAACCTACTCAAAATAAAAATTTTGCTTCTTTGTTTCTTTTTTTGCAGCTGAACAGGTCTTCAAAACCTAGTTCCTTTGATTGTTCAATGTCAAGTTAGGTAAAGAAAATGTAGCAGAGAGGAAGAAAACACTATATATGACTTGTACTTGTCAGGTGGTTATCCAAGTAAAATTGAAAAGAGTTGCGTATAATACAAACTGTACATATCAAACTCACACTACAAAAATTTAATATTTTTACTGTTTCTGATTAGTACAAAAAAATGGCTAAAACCTGGGATGATCCCAGTTATATTGGGACATTGGGTAAGCTTACTTAAGCTCCATTTAAAAGTTTTATTTTTCTAACAGACTGATGAACTTGTGGAATGAGTTGCCATCAGTAATAGTGGAGGTCAACATTTTACAACAGGAGTTTAGTAGGAGAATCAATGATTTCCTGAAAAGTAAAGGATGGGTTTAAATTTTCATTTTTCTGAAGGATAACTGGAAAAGGATAGTTTTAAAGGGCCTAATTAATTTATGTTAATCTCTTCTACAAAATAGGGAAAATGTCCCTTTGTCACCTAGTGCTACATTCTTTACTTTGTATTACTGAGTCAATTTTCTGTCCACTTTCTTAATTTTGTAACCAGTTCAGTACAAGTCTAACGTTCTAATTAAACTCAAGTTTGGCATTTTATCAACAATTTTCTGAAATCAAAATACATAACAAAATAAAGTGGGATGCCTTCATCCAAAGAAGGAAGTCTAACAAAACAAAATTGTAATTTAGTGAAATTCTATCCACTGAAATTCAAATTATTTACAAATTGTAATTTTTTGTTTAAAAGTAGTTCTAATATAAACAAATAAACAGAAGATGAAAACTTACCAAATCATCTGCTACAATGATTATTATATTTGGAAGCTTTTTTGAGGTCCTTGTGGAAAAGGCAACATGTACATGGATAAAAATGGATATAATGAAACCAACACAAATTGTCACTTTGAGATTGAAGTACATTTTCTGAAAAATGAAATTATATCAAAATGTACTATATATTAGTATCAAAAGTTCAAAATTTTAGTTTCTTGTGAAATATTGTTGTTTATGAACAACTTTGAAAAATAAATACAAGTTGCACAAAACAGGATATCGCTGTTAAAAAAAAATTAAAGGGTGAAAACATGAACAAATCCATACTTTATTTTCATAAATAATATTCCAGTGCATAGCTAATTCTATGCAAGAACATAAGAAACAAGATATAGTCAGCCTTTGATAATTTGTAATATTATACATATCCTTATACAATTTAATAGCTGATTTATCAAAATCAACTTAAGCTATCTTATAGAAGTCTATTACCAACAGAAACAGTTCAAAACTGGCAGTACCTAGGAAAACACAATGTTCCTAAAGTAATGGTTTAAAGCTGACAACAGTTGACTTTACAAGACAACCACAGTTGGGAAATATACATTTACTTGAAACTTTAGAAATAAAGTTACAGAAAAGTAGGTACGAAAATTATGAGCCCAATGAAATCACTCAAACATTCAAAAGTGTAAAGAAAACTGGATAGACACTGTTTTTCTTTAGTTGTATCACCATATGGTCCTTTTTATGTGTTATAATATTATTTTACACATTTAAAGAGAATTCGAGATTTTTTTATCATTTACCTAATCACATCCCTAACTTATGTTATCGTAGATGCCTACTGTATTAGTTGTTGTTCTTCATACTAAGAACAACCACATATTTTGAAGGGTTATTAGAAAGACTTTGTTGGTGTAGATTTAAACTTTACATGATTTTCCTCCAAGTAAACAGAATGATTATGTCTCCTATTGGAATGGTGAAGACTTACAGAGGGAATGTACAGCATCAAAACAACGTACACATATTCATATATTACTTGTAATAACAAAAAAGACAAAAGCTGACTGCTTGAAAATGAAAATCAAGAATCACTGTATGGGCACATAACTAGCAATAAAAAAATATTTATTATTTACAAGAAAATTGCCTCATTTCTCTGTAGCTTTCGCTCTTTAGCTCATTCAGTAAGTGTGAAAAAAGGAGCACCTTTCAAGTGCTTATTCCGATCAATTAGAACTTCTCTTTCTACAATTTTAAAAACATTACTATTCAAATGGATATTCTAATGAACTATAACCTAAGGATTTATTTTAAAAGGATTTTGAATGAAACTACACAGTAACAGCTGTTACATTAATTTACGGTTTTTCTAGAAAAGTCAACCCACTGAGAATACCTCATGCTTAAAGATAAATATAACTACTTCACTGGTCACATAATTCGTAACAAATGTCTCAATATTTGTATAATGTGTGTATATTTTATAATACATAACAAGTACAATTCTCTGTTTATCATTCCATTTATCAAGGAAAGAATGTGTGCTGAGATACACATAATCTATATATATATATATATATATAAGAGGTAAGTTTGTTTATTTTGTTCGCTATAGGAAACCAAACGGTT